ACTAGCCGAGTTCACAAGTTATATCCTTGTGTTTGAGAAGAGCTCGTTAGAACTGCTTCCTTTCCCTTCAGTATCCCACAGTCTCTCTTATAGCGGGTTAATTTATGACTGGGAAAATTAATGACCGGGAAAAATATGGCGGAATTTTCCAAAACCCACCACTTTATCCCAGTCATAATATTCCCGAGTAAGGTAGATACAACTTCAAAATATAAAACGGAAAATTTTATCTTGCAAAATGTCAATTTAATGGTTGTTTTAGCTTATCTTACTTTAGAAAAAAGGAAATTATTTGGACGCTGGAGGCCCTAGCGGTCATTTTACTATTTTTTTTTTTTTTTTTTTTTTTTTTTCATTTTACTATTTAAATGTCCATTCAAACAAAGCCCGCCAAGGTAGTTAAATTAAATACATTAAACTATTAAATACATTAAACTATTAAATACATCAAATGAATAACGCATGTTTTATTATACATTACGGCAGGGATATTTCTCAGTTGTTATGTTAGGTTAAATAATCTCAATAAGCTCGATCTAGTTGAAACACTAATGATATGCGTCTAGACCCCCACCAAATCTAGTGCCCCACTTGGCGAGATGTCGGGCTAGTAAAACAACTAAAATATCCAACAAAATTTGAAACTATATCTATCAAATTCAATAAAGTTCCTGAAAGATGGTTATATTTCTAATCACAGCGTCACGTTTCGCAACTCCATATTCAAAACAGTAGAACCCACGATGAATGATCTGCCTAATGATTGTAAATCCTCTGGACTGAGTAGTGATTCCAAGCGGGAGCCTATACTAGGTAGTCCGAGCAAGTTTATTTTTATCGTGCACCCCCTACCTATACAGAGGACCGTTTCTCAGTATTGAGTTCACATCAATTCTGAAGTCAGATCCGAACCATTGTGTAACTAAACTTTAACTAAACTTTAACTAAACTTTAACTTGCGTTCTGTGTTACGTCCACTGAGGAGTTTTTCGCACTGACTTTTATTATTTCTAAAATGAGAAATAAAACGTTTTTACAACCCCATATTTAACTAGCTCGCACACTCATTTAAGGTTTTCACTTTTCCGTAAAAACCGGGATGGCGCGCAGAACTGACCAAATAATAAATTAAACACGTAATTCAGCAGTCATGGCTGTAACTACAGTGGTGCTCTTCACTTTATTTGTGGCCCTGTTTGCTCCCGGCACACCCAATGAAGAAGATACAAGAAATGACATTGGGTCCTTGGTCCTGAATAAAGCAGAAGAAGTAGCGCTAGCAAAAAGAAAGGTAAGAGTTTCAAATAAAGAATTAAAATCAAGTTTACAGTTTAAACTAGTATTTTTTTCACCCAAAAACAAAATAAAATGGTGACATCAAATTTTTTTTATTTATCTATTATCGGAATTTGTTAGTTTGCAGTTGAAAAGAGAGGAAGGAGAAACAAAAACAAGAAGCAAAAACAGCCGGAGGAAGATCCGGTAAGGGTTAAATTTCATTACATTTCATTACATTTCATTACATTTCATTACATTTCATTACATTTCATTACATTTCATTACATTTCATTACATTTCATTACATTTCATTACATTTCATTACATTTCATTACATTTCATTACATTTCATTACATTTCATTACATTTCATTACATTTCATTACATTTCATTACATTTCATTACATTTCATTACATTTCATTACATTTCATTACATTTCATTACATTTCATTACATTTCATTACATTTCATTACATTTCATTACATTTCATTACATTTCATTACATTTCATTACATTTCATTACATTTCATTACATTTCATTACATTTCATTACATTTCATTACATTTCATTACATTTCATTACATTTCATTACATTTCATTACATTTCATTACATTTCATTACATTTCATTACATTTCATTACATTTCATTACATTTCATTACATTTCATTACATTTCATTACATTTCATTACATTTCATTACATTTCATTACATTTCATTACATTTCATTACATTTCATTACATTTCATTACATTTCATTACATTTCATTACATTTCATTACATTTCATTACATTTCATTACATTTCATTACATTTCATTACATTTCATTACATTTCATTACATTTCATTACATTTCATTACATTTCATTACATTTCATTACATTTCATTACATTTCATTACATTTCATTACATTTCATTACATTTCATTACATTTCATTACATTTCATTACATTTCATTACATTTCATTACATTTCATTACATTTCATTACATTTCATTACATTTCATTACATTTCATTACATTTCATTACATTTCATTACATTTCATTACATTTCATTACATTTCATTACATTTCATTACATTTCATTACATTTCATTACATTTCATTACATTTCATTACATTTCATTACATTTCATTACATTTCATTACATTTCATTACATTTCATTACATTTCATTACATTTCATTACATTTCATTACATTTCATTACATTTCATTACATTTCATTACATTTCATTACATTTCATTACATTTCATTACATTTCATTACATTTCATTACATTTCATTACATTTCATTACATTTCATTACATTTCATTACATTTCATTACATTTCATTACATTTCATTACATTTCATTACATTTCATTACATTTCATTACATTTCATTACATTTCATTACATTTCATTACATTTCATTACATTTCATTACATTTCATTACATTTCATTACATTTCATTACATTTCATTACATTTCATTACATTTCATTACATTTCATTACATTTCATTACATTTCATTACATTTCATTACATTTCATTACATTTCATTACATTTCATTACATTTCATTACATTTCATTACATTTCATTACATTTCATTACATTTCATTACATTTCATTACATTTCATTACATTTCATTACATTTCATTACATTTCATTACATTTCATTTTATGTTTTTTTCTAATATGCTTTACACTCCCTCCTTTACACTACCAACGAGGTGTCATCAATAGATTGAAGCACAAGCAATAGAATTTTATTTGATCGTGGAATCTAGACCATGCTCAACCATGAGTCATAGACCAAAATACAATAAGTATAACAACTCACATGTTGGCAAGAACTTTTATATTCTATAATCGTGGAATCTAGATTATTTGAGTTTAGCCATGCTCAACCAGTCAACTTTATATTTTAATCAAAATAATGTGACCATGTCTTATCTTAAAACGTTACAATGATAGTAATATAATAACGTATATTTTAAAGTTATTACAGTGATTTATATGATGATTTAATATCTTTGATCTTAGTCTATTCTATGAAATGCCAGCAACAAATAATGCTCACCACTTTCAGAACACAATCCTTGACCATGCAGCCGATTTCCTTGGAAACGGAGCAGATGCCGTTGCCGATTTAGCGAATGGAATTTTTGGTGTTCTCGGAGAAGAAGAAAAAGAATAAATCAAGCGGTAACTATAATTAATAACTATAACTTTGAACTTATGATAGACATGATCGGTTTTTAAAGATCTTGAAATTTTTAAAAAATTGTTGTTATTCTATATCATTGTTTAGTTATTATCATTTATAATATATTCTCTTTCAAAAGTATTCCAAGTGATTTATATAAGTATAACACACATACAACATAACGCCGGGACGCACAATACAATGATTATATTTTAATTTTTTCCGCGATGCGCGGGAAAAGTTGATAATAATTTCAAGTGCGAAGCGCAAGGGATTATTATTATAACAAGAATTGCGCCCGTTGTTTCGTTTTGGCGGACACTAGATTTCCATTTCACATTTACTATAAATTTAAGGATAAGCTCCAATCAGCTCACTTCAATCTTCATGATAATAATATAGATAAATTATGCATCAAATACGGGAAAAAATTCAGTACAATTGCCGTAGAACTTAACTTGTATCTGTAATTCAAGAAATTATCAGCAAAGGTAAACTATACTCGTGTACACATCAATACACTACGCGTGCCACGTACAAATTGGGCGTATTACCTAATAGTAATATTATACATTACATGCATCGTATACAATAAAACACAGTCGCGCCGCGCATTCATAGATCACAGGCTATCTATACATCACATCTCCGCAAACAATCCTCGCGCGCGCGCAACTTTTTCGTTGCTTGGTAACGAACGGAAGTAAGCAAGGAACACGACATATATTTGACCCACCTACTGCAATCTCCAAAATCCACGTTTTTCTGCAAAAACCTCCATTCGTAACCTTTCACTATTGCCTTTTTTCAAAAGGGTGAAAAGGAAAAAATAACACCGACGTGCTTTAGCACGAGGGGTTATTTTAATGTAACCTTATATCAAGCGTGCCGGCGTTTTGTGTTATAAACTCCTCCGGGGTGTTGCTAAGTGCTACTAGGTGCTAAGTGCTACTAAGTGCTACTAGGGCTAATTCGTTTTGATAATTACCCTTCATTCTAGCTATTTTGAGATCAGTATGGAAATATGAAATGGAATTGGGAAGTATATTATACTACTAAATAAATAAAACTAAGGTACTATGACACGACAGTTGAAATTGGCGTTCTATTTATACAAAGTTCCTTAGTTATAGTCCAAACGTTGAATGAATATCAATAATGAATAAGGGATGTCGAGTTAAGCCTGGTAAGCGAAAAAAGGTGGAGTTGATATTTATATCGTGTCATGAAGATCATCAAAGTAGACGACTATATAGTAATACATGGCTCATATCAAACAGTGCAATTGTAGGGTGAGAATCCCTGCCACGTTTTTGGTCAGCTTCGCCGGGGCTCATGTCTTTCCTCGAGGGAGCATTAGTGTCTACAGAAAAACTGACAAATCCTAGCGAAGTCCAATCCGAACCACATCTTCCATCAGAGGTGGTGCTGGGTCAGCTGGTTACTGAACAGATTGGCCTGGAGAAAAGCATAGTCCTGTCATTCTAAAGTTAACCATAGAGGGGGTCAGGCGCTGTTCGCTCACGGCTGGTTCTTGGAGCCAACACCCTCGGCCCCACAGAAGTGGGAGCACTGTCGGTGGTGGCACACCCAGATAACGGACAGTGTCTCTCCTTCTTTCTTCTTGGACTTGCATTGTTGCTGGTGAGTCAGCTGGCAACAGTGTACCATACTTTCATATTCATGTTTTCTTCCCCACTTCTCCTACACCTCACTTTATTACTCACTCATTCACTCACATGCCGCCTTAGGGCCGCTACCAGTTAGAGGGGATATAACAATCAGACAAACTGCCAGCCTTAGGGCCGCTACCAGTTAGAGGGGATCTAACAATCAGACAAACTGCCAGTTATTGGAGATATAGCACTTAGATTATTACCAGCAAACTTAAAATTAGCAATAATTACGTGAACAAAGAAATTGCCAAATTGCGACAAAAAAGGGTCTACTCAAAATTCAAATATCGCATGTAAATTCGTGAATCAGCACTTTAGTATAGCGCGGAAATTGAGCCGCGCAAAGACAAAGATATAACACAAAAACAACAAAGATATGGGTAAATTCCATCGGAGGCTCAGGCATGCCTGGTAGGTTCCTGTCAGCCCACTAGAATGACAGGGGGCAGCCTGTTCTATCGAGTACCCGGGAGAACATCTAGGCATGGGTGGTGTTCTCCCGTGAACGAGCATTATGACAGTTTCCCTAACGGGAAACGTCGCTCACCAGGCTTTATCCTCTGGAGGGGCGGGATCACTAGCCCATGCCAAGTGACCCAAACCTACTGACACCTACAACCAGAGGAACCCCAATAGACGTTAGTCACTAATGACGGACGTAGCCTCCCAATAGGGAGGTAAAGTGGGTGCCCCAACATAAAACAAAAAAATAAAACAGTGCAATTGCTACGACAAAATTTACCGGACAAAATTTACTGCACGGGACGATTTTAACCGTCATGACAAGTTCTGGAACTGGCTAGTAATGTAAAAGTTTGAGTAATGTAAGCAGTGTGCTGGAACTTTGCAAGCGCCTGCAATTCGCAACTATAAGTGAGTATATATTGATTCTAAATACATTTGACAATGACATTGCGAAAGATTTGATCTCAATTCATAAATTTTGAAAGAATTTATTACAATTCGGGGATCGTGTTTTCGCGGGAAATATAAAGTAGACTAAATTTTGGTTTTTATTAATTCTTAATTTTGAAATTGTAACACACATTGTAATAAAATGCCGCAACAGCAAAAGTGACTAATGACTTACTTTTTAGGAGGTAACGGAAAGTCTAATTAGCTAATTGGACACAATTAATTGTGCTGATCGGATGATTAAAAAAGGACTGTATCCCGATATATATATAATACACGGATACACCATATCGGACATTAATACTAAATATAATACATTGAGAAGCTAAACCGCATTTCAAGGATTTTCTTTTTTATTTCATGTTCAAATAATGGTTTTCGTTTTGCTGCATTTAATAAATCAATTAAACAATTAAAAGAGGTGAAATATTTGTTTTTCAAAGTTATTAAAAGATGTAAAACTGCAGGATGTGATGATTTGAACATTAAATTATTTAAAAATAGATAAACATTTATTTTTTAAATAACTATATTTCTCCAAATTAAAATATCGTAAACCTTCATTTCAATTGTTTACAAATTATTTAATAATTGATAATATCAAATCTAAAATGTAAATTGTTTTAGTTAAATTTATATAATACTAATAGCACCCTTCGGGCTCAGGTTAGGGTCAGGGTTGTTACATACACATGTTACATGGTAAGGTCTCCTCCTAGTCGTTGGAGTGGCCTGCATCACACACATCGCGTTGGCGGCGTAACATATGTCTCCACTGTACTCGGTTGGTAGCCAAAGCTTCTGTTGTGTCGTTGTCGATGTTTTCAACACCTGTAAACTTAGCAGCATCTTCGAGTACGCAGGACTTCCAGTTCTTACGGGGTCTGCCCCTTGATCTCTTTCCATAGTTTGGCTTCCAGTTCAACAGAAACCTCGGTAGTCTAGAGTCTGGCATTCTAACTACATGTCCATACCAACGTAGCCTGGCAGCACTGATGAAAGTCTCAACTGACTTGATGCCAGCCCTCCTAAGAACTTCGTCGTTGGTTACATGAAAGAACCATTTAATCCTAAGGATCCTTCTCAAGGAGGTTTGATGAAAAACCTCGAAACGTTTCATCTGCTTTTTGGTGGTGTTCCAGACTTCAGCTCCATACAACAAGATGGTGAGGACAGCAGCCCTATAGATCCTGATCTTGGTTGGAGTCTTTATAGTTCTGCTATTCCAAATGTTCCAGAGCTGATGAAAGGCGCCATTAGCCTTCTGGATACGAACATCCAGGTCTCTGTTGATTGTCCCATCCCCACTAATAGTTGCACCCAGGTAGACAAAGTTGCTAACCTGCTCGACGGGTTCACCCTCAACCGACAGCTCAATACAATCATCCTTGATGAAAGGTCGCTGGGAGGCGCACTTGCTTACAGCCATGCATTGGGTCTTCTTTGCATTTATTCTGAGCCCAGCGTAGGAGCTGTAATGAACTAATAGATCAGTTGATTCCTGTAGGCCTTCCCCTGAGTTGTCCATAATAGCCATGTCATCAGCATAATCGGTGTCCAGAATGACCTTTTCCTCGACCGTCTTCATCTCTTTCTGCAGCACTGCGCCTTGACTGATGATCTTGTTGGTCTCAGCCAGAAATGCAGAAAAGTTTAGGCAGAAATTAAAGACAGGAGGTGCTTGAATGTCACCCTGACCTGTGCCTGAGTTAACATCAAACCAGTCTGTCAGCTCCCCATTAACCCTCACGGCACTCATGGTACCCTCAAAAAATGACTGAAATATTCTGACATATTTTTCAGGCAGCCCATAGTGTCTCATACTGCACCAAATAAAGTCCCTTCTGATAGAATCGAACGCTGCCTTGAAATCCACAAAATTAATGTAAAGAGGAATGTTAAACTCAAGACAGTTATGAATAATAGTTCGGAGAGAATAAATCTGATCAATACATGAGCGGTTCTGTCTAAATCCGCACTGATTCTCCCTGAGGAGACACTCCATACCAGCATGTAACCGCTTAAGAAGAATCATCTGAAAAAGCTTGGATGCTGTAGACCTTAAGGTGATCCCTCTGTTGTTCCCGCAGACTGAAGTGTCTCCTTTCTTCCCAATAACAATGATCACACCCTTTAACCAATCTTCAGGAACAGTCTCTTCTTCCCACACTTTCTTGAATAGACACTCTAGTTGATCAACTAGAGCACTCGCACCATACTTCAGTTGCTCGTTAGTTATCCCGTCCACTCCTGGGCTTTTGTTGTTCTTAAGCTTTGTCAGGGAATAACTAATCTCGTCTCTGGTGGGTGGTCCATCCGAACAAGAGAGAGAGTTAAAGTGGGGTTGGGGTGGTACTGTATCAAGGTCGGCAAGGTTGACACTTGATGATGGGGGGTTCAGAAGTTCAGTAAAGTGCTCCTTCCACCTATCCCTCTGCTGTTGGGGATCCGTGATCTTCCTACCGTCCTTGTCCCGGACACAAGATGCTTGAGGCTTCTTGTTCTTACCAGAGATCTTCTTGATCTTTGCCCATACCTCACGCTGCTGACCTTTGCTCGCTGCTTCCTCAAGATCAGTAGCTACTCTAACTGCCCAGTTATTGTCGTCTAGCTTGCTGCTTTTCTTGACTAACTTATTAAGTTTAGAATACTCTGACCTGTTAGTGTCCGAGTTTGGGTCTTTGCGCTTAAACTGTGCCCGCTGAGTCAATAAATCCTTGGTCTTCCGTGACAGGTGTTGCTCCTTTGCCTTCCGGGGTCTTTTGCCTAGTACCTCCAGTGAGACATCAGTGACGGTCTGACTGAGATTACGCCACATATCCTCGAGGTCGACCTCACTATCCAGACTTGCAAATCGGTTTTGAAGAGCCACATTGTACTCTAAAACCGTAGTACTATCCCTCAGGCGCTCAATGGCAGGCACATTGGGCCTGTTGGCGTTGATCTTTGTCACTGACTGAAGTTTGATTTTCAGCAGTCCTAGAACCAGATAATGATCGGAGCCGATGTCTGCCCCGCGACATACCCTAACATCAAAAAGTGACTGACGAAACCGCTTTCCAATGCAGATATGATCTATCTGATTGACGGTGAGCCCGTTGGGGGACCGCCATGTTCCCTTGTGAATGTTCTTGTGCTCGAAGAGAGTTCCCCCGATGACAAGCTGGTTCGTCGCACAGAAATCCACAAGTCTTGTCCCGTTGTCATTTGATGAGCTATGGAGTGATTCCCCACCGATGACCGCTTCACTTCCATATCTGCCTGATGTTACTTTTGCATTAAAATCGCCGAGCAGTAACTTGATATCGTGACGAGGTAGCCCATCAAATGTATCTGTGAGTGTCCTATAAAACTTATCTTTCTCACTCTCCTCTGCACCCTCAGTTGGAGCATAGGCCACAACAACAGAGATGTTGATTTGCTTACTATGCAGCCTAGCAGTTAAAACCCGCTCCGATGTGGGAGTGAACGATATCAGGGAGTTTCTGATTCGTTTTGAAAGACTGAGACCGACTCCCTGTCTCTTGATCCCGTCGACTCTACCGGAATAGATGAGTAGACTGCCATTGTCCAGTAGAGTGGTGCCAGATCCAGGCATGTGAGTCTCGGTGATCCCCAAAAGATCCAATCTGTACTGATCAATGTTTTTACTAAGTTGGTAGAGCTGTGTAGATGAGCTGACAAGAGATAGAACGTTCCATGTTCCAAAACGTAAAAACTGTTTGCAATAATTTACTGGATTGGATTTGTTGGAAGCAGGGTCAACATGGATGATCTGTTGACTAATAAATCTGGTCGGATGACGAGTACCCCCTCTTCTCATCAGGCGACTGGGGTCCCGTAGGCTTTGCCCAGCCTCCGTCATGCTGGAACCATCCGTCCTTGAATTGGAAGTAGCACTCCGTCCATTTGATGTGTGTGTTGTTTCAGTACCGTTGTTAGTTAGGGTTAAAGATAGCTTTGAAGTTTTGGTTATGGTACACAGCTAGGGGGGGGCAGGGGGCTGAAACCATATTTTCGATCAAACGCTGCCATTTGTAGTCAAACGTCGCCAACAGTTGCTCTCGTCCAATGAAATCGCTGCATTTTGCCTGCCAAGATGCATAATTGAATTACATATATTCGTATGCAAAGCTTGGCTTTCATAATGCAGCGATTTCATTGGACGAGAGCAACTGTTGGCGACGTTTGACTACAAGTACAAATGGCAATGTTTGATCGAAAACCTGGTTTCAGCTCCCCCTGTGGATAAGGGTTGGGATCATTATTGACCATTATTAATGGTCTGGACCGGCGCGCGCTACTTCGTAGCACTTGCCACTTGCCATCATAACATTTCGAGAAGAAAGCTGCGCGCGCTACTTCGAAGAAATGTAAACCGAAACGAGTAACATCCGTCAAGATCATTAGGGCTTATAATTATGTTTAAAAAATTTGTTCGGGTGAAAAAAAGAACAGTAATAATTTTAAGGCTAGCGAATTGGTAAAAGCTATTAATTGAAGATGTCAATTCTTCGTAGCTCGGCGAGGCCGGCCCATGAGTGCAGCGCATTTTGCCGATTAGATATAACGAAGATTGCGAGAAACATTGTTGAATGCCAAAGGCTGTTTCTGATACGTAACATGTATCAAAAAATGGGTAATTTATTGCTTAAAATACCTATAACTCCTTATAAAATGTTGGATATTTTGATACAATTCTTACAGGATCGTAATAAGGTTAGTCAGACGTAACTTTTGGTACCAAAATTACAATATTTGAAGCACCAAATGTTTCAAAAATTTGTTCAAAATTTCACACACCTTTTGTTCAGATTTTAAAATGTTGAAAATAATCTTCCTTTAAATCTTTAAACATTCATACTAAAAGTTTCGTCTCGATGAGCTGATAACGATGCCATAATAATCTCTACTATAATTCAGAGAATTATTTATGCTGTCTGTACGACCGCCCACGTGCAAATTAGATGAAAAATAGGTAGTTGCGTAGTAACCATAGTAACGAGGATTGTTACACGCACGTGCACGTGCAATGATTGTTTTAACGTCATTTTAATCGGTTTTGTTGATATTACGCTGTGTTTAGTACGAGCAACATTTTATTTGGCTGTATCTTCGGTTGTGTAGGATATTTTTGACGCGATTTAAACTTACTAACAAAAAATAATATTAGCGTCCTCCCTGTGACCACGGGTTTTCTAGTTATGTTATAATAACTGAAAATGTAAAAGTTATAGGCCAAAAACTAAAAATTTGCGCGAAAAAAGCACGGTGGATTAATTTTATTTACATTTTAAGACAACTTTTGGTACCAAATTTATTGAAATCGGAGAAAAAATTTCTGTGCTCGCGCTTGGCGCATATTACACTGACTATAAAACTTATTACTTAGCATGAAAATCATTTCTTAACGAGTTATGTCCAAATAATTACCAATGACAATTTTTGTCGGATGATGATTAATCACTCTACACTCGACTGTCACGTGACTTTTTCAACCCCTTCTGTAGCTGGTCCTGAACGACTATTCGAAACCCTAACCCTCTAATCTGATCCCATCCCTAACCCTAACCCAATCCTTAACAAAAGCATATGCTGAAACCCTAACCTTCATTCTCCAGCTGATTAATGTACAACAATTGTCTATTCATAATTTTAACGCAGCCTCAAGACTCCTAGACATGACTTCCCTTTTCGTTACTGTCACCAAGATGTAACTAGGTCGAACGGAGAAATTAGGTCTCACGAAGGAATTAGGTCTCACGCAGGCACGTGATATATATACATATATATAAATATCTCCGGGATTTCGACGCGGGATCATATTATCACTCAGCCCGGCCCGCTGTTAGATAAACCTCTCAAGGTGATATCATCCCGCCCCGGAAATTTGTATAAACCCGGCCCGCTTTTTAGTCGTAACTGATGTTTATCATTCAATTCTCCGACTTACAATAATCAATGATACTGCTGATTAGAACTCGATAATAGTAGAACAGTTAGACGCGCGATCACGTGGGCGCGTCACGTGCGTACCACGTGCCACCAATAGCATACGCCGAGTCTATACCACGTGACACGAAAGCGCACCACGTGATATGAAACATCGTAACCGTCCACTTCTTTTAGACGCAAATTCCTGGGAACGTTGCCAAAGCAGCTAATTCTTGGAATTTCTCCAACGCGTGGCGTGAGAAGTTGGCGACTAGCCAGCTACCCTTGTCCGTGCCCTAAAAATAGTATTGTTTTGCTTGCTCTCCTTCCAGCTCTTGTTCCTGCTAACGTTCAAGCTATTGCTCCACTATGACAGATCGGTTTGACATTCAGATTGATAAACTGCTTTCCAATCGTGTTCCGGACAGTACAGTTAGAGTCAACAACTGGGCTCTAAACAAATTTAATTCTTGGCTTCAGTCATCCAGATTTGCTCGTGACTTCAATGACCTTGACCAAATTCCTGTTCAACGACTCAACTACATTTTAGAGTGCTTTCTTGTTTCTGTTGATATAGCTTGCTTTTCATCGTAAATATATTTTCTATTGCTTGTTTAACCGGTATAACTTCAATTGTGCTACTTAATCTTAATTTACTACTGTTAGTACGTTATCGTATCACTTGTTATCACCATCACAAATAGAAATGAAAATATTACTAAAATCAGACCCGTATTCCGAAATAAAAACTATTTTATCACTCTCTTATAAAGTATAAATCCCTTGTCGAAATCGCCGGAGATAATTATAATCCATAAACACTTCACGCTCAGGGCTAAATAAATGTAATCCCTCAGCTGGCGCTTCGGGATTACATATTAACACAAAACTCGTGCGCTGCGCGCACTCGTATGTGTTTATCAGATCATCCCGCTAGCGCGGGATGATCTGTTATATAAACCCTTTGCGTGGCGGGTTTATGTTATTATAAATACCTTTAAAAGCTGCGCTTGCGTGAGACCTAATTCCTGCGTGAGACCTAATTTGTCCGTTCGACCTAGTTACATCTTGGTGACAGTTAACCATTGAAGCTCTTAACTAGTACATGCGTTAACATGTTCTGCTTTAGCAAGCCTGAGAGTATCCCGGATCCATTCAGCTCCATCATCTACCACTTCATCAAGCCTATAATTTTGTATTTCTCCGATTCATACATCATACAACCATGGCACCGGTTAAACAAGCAAGTATTATCATGTAAATGTAATTGTAATGATAAGTAACTGATAAGCGAGCACAAACGTATATAACACACATAACCCCGGCATGCGCAGGGATTATATTTCAATTTTTCCCGCAACGCGCGGGAAAAGTTTGTAATAATTTCGAGTGCGAAGCACGAGGGATTATTATGAAAATAACCCCGACGTGCTTTAGCACGAGGGGTTATTTTAATATAACTTAAGCGTGCCGGTGTTATGTGTTATAAACCCCTCCGGGTTAGTGCTAGGACCAACAAATTTGACATTTTACTCTTAAATATAGCTATATGATTATGAGATCATTATGGAAAATATGAAATGGAATTGGGGACTACCAAATAAATACAACTAAGGTACTATGACTTTTGAAATTGGCGTTATATCTAAACATTATTCCTCAGTCAGAACGTTGAATGAATATGAATATCGATAAGGGGCGTCGAGTTAAGCCTGGCAAGCGATAAAAGCTAATAATGATATCGTGTCATGAAGTTTATCAAAGTAGACGACTATAATACATGGCTTATATCAAACACGACAAAATTAACCGAACCGGACAAAATCAAATGTAACCGTCGAGACAAGTTTTGGAACTGGTCCAATTAATGTAAGAGTTTAAGTAATGTAAGCAGTGTGCTGGAGTTTTGCCAGCGCCTGCAATTAGACCGATACGTAGATCGAGTGTATTTATAGTTCTTACGTTAAGCCATAGGTCACGTGACATTTTTTACCAATGCGCGTCGTAGTAGTTAGTCACGTGATACACGTCATCAAAACACGTGACAGTACGCGGTTGAAATTCTCATCGAATGTCAAAACAAAACAAATCTTGTTGAGCCAAATTAGCGGGGCGGGATTATAAAAGCTGTGCCGGGGTTATTTATTCAGCGGGAAAAAACTAACAGCGGGAGCCGGGATTATCAGAATCTATTTAGCGGGAGCCGGGATTATCAGAATCTTATTCTATCCCGGAGGGGTTTATAAAAGTGTAATTACTGAACTCCCTGTTAAAAGGCTCGCGCTATATCTCCACCAAAAGCACATCCAATTTAATATGTATGAAATATGTCTATAACTTGCTTGACTCTGCACTAAGTTGACGTGTCTAGACCAAAATTGAACTGCAAATCGTTTGAAATCACTTTCGAGGCACATCAACAAAAGCTACTCACGCTATTGTGCTTTTCACGGAGAAATTAGTGTTTAATTTGTTCCTATTCTAACTATTGACCGTGAAACGATGGTTTGATCAAATAATAAATATAAACATTAATTAGACAAATAGTTCTTGTGTCTTGCAAACACACGAACTGAGACCAGGTCACTGATGTCTGATTGATGTTGAGTAGCTGACGATGTTGAGTAGCGGGTGTAATTCTCACAAAGGTACTAAATAAACATGCCTATTAGGAATACAGGTTTTGGTTAGTTAACAGTAAACAACAATTACCTTACAAGACTTTTTTGTGGCGGACCAATTTGCGACGACCGAAATTTTGGCGGTCCGAAAATATGGCGAAATTGAACAAAAACCGTCACATTTCGGACGTCACAGAAAATAAGGGTATTTTTCATCATTTTGTTTTCTGACACAAAGGAAATTCAAAATTTTCTAAAAATCGGTAAAATCATGTTGAAACAAAATGAAACTTATAAATCGATTTCTTCATCTTCCTCTATACTTAAGGGGTCCGGCTCGACTCTTTCAGTTTCACGCTGTTCTCCAGTATACTCCCAGGAGTAAGATTCTCGGATAAGCGTATTACTTGACATTAAATTCATCATGGAATATTGTGTTTATTTGTCCCACCATCATATCACTAACTTTTCAAGAACAAAATGAATTGATGAAGCCACAATTATTGGAATGAGCTAAAAATAATGCGACGGATTCTATTACGACGACCGAAATTTTGGCGGTCCGAAAATATGGCGAAATTTCGGGAAAACCGTCGCATTTCGTACGTTATGAAAAAGTCTTGTAAGGTAGACAGTAGCATTTTTGATCATTTTATTTACGGGCACAAAGAAGCGTTACTAGCAATTGTGCTGTACACTGTAGTTAGTAAATGTGAAATGTAAACCAAACTTTTTTGATCGGCCGCGCGCTGAACCAGTGTTGCAAAGTAAAAAGTGTGTATTTTTTGTACATTTTTTAGTGAAAATTGAGTTATTAATTTATCACTTTTTATTATTAAATCTTAGATAGCTAATAATTTATTTAATTATTAACAGGCCCCTTAACGTGGGCAATAACATACGCTTTATAAATTATATAAACAAATTCAAGTCTATTTTTCTGATTTTGCTAACTGTTTCTTTAGATCTGTTTCGGTCTTTTGTGGGAGTTCCCACATCTGCTGGTTGAGAATGCTCAACATAACATACATGATGCATGACTGCTTTATTGACCCGGGCAGGCCCCGGGGGCAGACATCCCAACACCAGTGCGTTGGGACATAGTGTTGGTCTGTTTCAGGATGAGTTAGATCCCAGAGAAGCCGCCATCTCCTCTACTGCTTTAGCTCAGCGGCAGCATGAGCCCTGGTTTCCTGCCACATTGGTACTTCTGAAAGTACAGAAAGGTGGTGGATTTCGGGGTCCAGGATCCTCCCTCTTTATTCTTTAAGGTGTTATCATTTCTCTGAGATGTTTGCAGAGTCTTTGTTTTATAGTCTTTCTAGTTGGCTAAGTCCTGGAGAGATTCATTTTGTTCCCAAAGAAATTCTACTCTCCTAATGAATGCTTTTTGGGTGCTGCTTTTTGTTGATATCAGAACTTCTTCTAGATAGGAATATGGTTCAGTTCCATTTAGTTCTTGTTTAAGTTGAAGGTGACTGGTATCATGGACTTCTAGACATAGCAGAAGCTGGTGTTCAGGAGAATCATCGAAGTTGTTACAGAAACGACAGGTTTCACCACTGTTTTCACCCATGATCTTCTGGATACCTGCAAAGAATGGTGAGCTGCCGTGAATATTATTTTATTTTATTCTGCTGTCTAGATCTTTACCTGTGTTGTGTCCGAATATGAAGTTATTCTTGTCTAGGAGCAGCCCACTGTTCTTCATCTTGGTGATGATACCAAGTATCTTGGTCTCCTTGCTGATTCCTATAGTTTTGCATAGGAGATTTGTCTCAATGGTATCAAACCAGACCTTTTGTTCTAGGTCAATCATCCTAGTTCCGTGAGACTTATTTTCTTTCCAAAGGAGGTACTTTTTAAGTGACATGGTCAAAGCATGAAAGCTTGGTGTTCTGCTTTCATCAACTTGGTAGAGGGTAGCTGAAAGATTGTCACCTTGTGTGAGTATTTTGCACATGAATTTAACCGAGAGAGCTTCGAGTTGCACATTCAGTGGTGGGAGGTGGAGAGCAAGTTCGGTTAATTCCCTTTGTGGGTTCAGGACTGATCCAGATATTTTTAGAATTATTTTATTCCAGAAGCTTTTAAATTGATTGAGACACTTGTGAAGCCAAATAGGTGCTGCGTAGAACAGTTTAGTGAGGACCATTGTCTTAAGGAGGAGAGTGAGGCTGTAAACGTTTAGACCGTAGTTGTGGTTAGTTGATTTTGTTATTAATCTTCACTTTCTTTTGCATTCTTTAAGTTTTTGAGACGCATGTTTCTTGAAATTGAGGTCTTCATCTACTATTACCCCAAGGACCTTCGTACTTTGAACGTAGTTGATGCTTTTCCCATTAATACATAATTCTGCAGGTTTCTGTTCTTCATTATAGGCTGCAGTTTTCAAGATTATTGCCTTCGTTTTATTTGTATCACAGTTCACTACTAGCTTGTTCTTGATTCACCACTTGCTGAGGTGGTCACATACCATCTGCATGGCATCCGGAGATGTTCTCAAAGGAAATCATAAGTGTACCGTCATCAGCAAATTTGTAGCAGCTTAGATGTTGTGCGTCATGTCTGCTATGTATAGGATAAAGAGGAGAGGTGAAAGTACAGCCCCCTGAGGTAGTCCAAATATTGTACATTTTCTTTTTTCTCCTTTATAGTTGTTCACTTTTAGACATATCGTCCGGTTGAACAGGAAACTTCTCAGCACGTTAAGAATATTTCCTTGAATACCGAGAGTTGATAGTTTGACACATAGTGATGGAAGATGAACACTATCAAATGCCTTTTCGAAGTCAAGGAAAAGCACTATACATGCCAGCTTCTGTCGTTTAACTTCCTCAAGGTTAGCCAGCATTCTGAAAAGATATCGCATTGTTGATCTCCCTCCAATAAAACCTTCCTGATCTTCATCAAGAGTTCCTTCAATGTCCAGGAAGAGTCTCAATCTTTTATCTAGCACTCTTTCACAAATCTTTCCAAAGTAGGATGATATGGAAATCAGTCTATAAGCACCAGGTAACATGTAGCTGGATTTTCCTTCTTTCCTTATGAATGTTACGTCGGAAGTTTTCCACAGCCATTTTCCTGTGCTCATACACCAGTTAAATATGATCTGCAAAACGTGAAGACAATTTGTTTTTATGTGTTTGAGGATGGTAGGGTGAATATTGTCTGCATCACATGATTTGTCATTTGTTTCTTGCCTTTCTATAGCTGCTTTTATCTCGTCTATGAAAATAGGGTTGTTCAGCGGATCATCTTCATTGTAACTACTTGCAGATTTGCTGCTAACATTCTTTAATTTACTGAACTCATTATTTACATGCATTTCGTGCTCTTGGTCATTGGGTTGGTTTTGAAGGTGTTTTCCTGTGAAGAAAGTATTAAATAACAATTCTTCCTTATCTTTTTCAGATGTGACCAGCAACTGGGAGTTGATCTTTGCTTAAATCTTTCTAAAGCTTCTAAAGCTTCATTAGATAGAGTTGTAAGTGTAGGACACCAATTTATCACTAATTGTACACATATCACAAATTATTTTATTATAATAAAACCACTTCTGTGAAATGGTTATTTAACTAAATATGAATTGATTGTCAGATTGTGGGTCTAAAATACAATTTTGTTTTACTAAAATTTTGTTTTACTATTCTCTTTCAAAAGTATTCCAAGTGATTTGTATCAGTGCATATTTTGATTTTGAACACATTGCGAAAGATTTGATTTCGATTTATGAAGTTTGAAAAAAGTTACTGCAATGCATGAAATTTGGGAAGTGTGCTTTCGTTGGAGATATAAGCTGCGCCTTGTAAAATAGCTCACATTCCCAAAATACAATAATATAATTTTTTAAATCTGGGCAAGTTGAATTTTATCATGCATCCTTTACTTGCAGTAGCCCGTGACCGCCATACGTCATGTAATACGCTTAGGCACATGACGTGTAAGTGAACATTTGGGGTGAAAAATAATAAACTTCAACAAGGTATATTATATCCAAAATTTAAGCACAGAATTTGAGCAAAAATGGGTAAGTTTTTATATTCACTAATTTGGATGTTTGACCGTGTAAATCTTCATATAATTGTTAAATTTTGATTGTTGTTTCATGTGTTATAGCCCTCATGTAGGGATTTTGGAGCACGAAATTTCTTATCTTATATAGCTCGGAGTAGCTGCCAGTGGTATGACTAGGATATTATTATTATTTTGAATAGCGATTTATAGTGTGTTCTTTTATGAAAAACTTGTTCACAATTTGTTGGTGCCCTATGCTACTGGTATGTGCACCAAAAAAGTCTTAAACTTATCAAGGTAGGCCACCCTATCACTGAGGACCCTAAGACTTCCTAAACAGAGAGCTTATATGTTGCTTTGTCGCCCCACTCTAGACAGATATACAGTAAGAGAGATGGGATTCAAACAAAATAATAGTATATTATATTGCTCCTAATGTTCATTGTTCCATCTGATGAAAGTGGACCATCTAATATTTTGGCTTTAAGTTTAATATTCATAGAAAATGTTGAGTAAGTAGCCCAATACACTGTCATTCACTGCCCCTTCTAAATGTCAAAAATTGAAATACACCTCAGCCCCCCTGTATAGAACAAAGAAGTAAAATAAAACTCCATTTAAAATTGGGAAATGTATTTCATTACATCAAATCTGATAATATCAAAAACTGTAACTAAAGTGCCCCTCTTAAGTATTCTAATGTATGCAACGAATCAGCCTACAAACATTTGCATAACCTCTATTTCAAGCACTTAACCCCTAAATGTTTACAATTAAGATTTTGTAATATCGTGATGCCCTTAATGTCTCCAACATTTTCAAAAATGAACAGTTATTATTTTTAAATGTTTACTATTATTCTAGTACATGAATATATTGGATAAGTAACAACTAGCAATATAAATTGCTTCAATACAAGTTCTAACATGATGTGAGCTCATGCCAAGTCACGATTCATATAATCAATTACACTGCATGGTAGATCATCTTGATTTGGAGTATTATCAATGTCTTGATCAAGATTTCTCATTTGCTCTCTCATATTGAAATACAGCTCTTCATCAGTATCAAAGTTTTCCTCATTATATCCGTCCTCATAGATCGGAGACGTTGCTGTCGTTGATATAGATTCTGAACGCTCTGTGTCTGTTTCCACTGTGAGAAATATGGCTGTTTTGCTACCCTCCATCATATTTGAAGGTTTACTTATTGACCAATTTCCATTCTCCTTCATTATTTTAAGAGAATTATCTGGGGTTGAGGATCCTACCCTCTGTCTGCAGATGAATACTTTTTTGATTTTCTGCTTGTACTCTGGAGTCCACAAAACGATTCTTCCTGTGAGAATCTTGTTTTCGGAACCACTTTCACACACCATTTCAACTGATTCCACTCCCTCAGAGAAAATCTTCTCCAAACTCTCACAGTCACCTTGACATGGTGATATTACAAGCTCGGTGCTCTCATCCGATGCTGGTTCATTTGGAAGGGACCATTCTGTAAGAATCCTTTTTATGTCCCCTCTCGACATACAAGATCCTGAAGAACTTGACCTTGATGTTGATGGTAAACAGCTTTGGCTTTCTGCTCTTTTTGTATTAATGAAGGGTTCGTCAGAATCACTGTCAGAGAATTCCAAGTATTGTGTTTGTGCATGGTAGACATCTCTAGCTGTCTTGAGAGGTATTTTAGGTTTGCATGGGAATTTTCCAAAAAACAACTCAGGTTTATCTTCATATTCATCATCAGAAACATCTATTAAAGCAGGTAGCATTGCTTCACATGTCAAAAGAGAGTTTGGGCTATTAATTTCTCTAAATTGAAACTCATCATTGCCAGCTGACTTGGACACTTCGTGATATAATGTGAGGGGTACTGCACACTTTTTCCTTCTGACACTTTGAGAAAGGACTGAACTTGTACAACTCTCAAATCCACTATCAGCAGTCTCAAACTTTGATCTTGAGCGACAGGGAAACGTATGGTTAAGTCCTGATTTTCTACTCATATTGAATTTAGTATGGTAATCACCACTGTTGAATGTTATAGGTCCTGGCTCTGATCTTCTTAACAGCCCATGTGCAGACCTGCAGATTTCCTCAAAATCTGAATACGATCGACTCTGTGCAATATCTTTTTCAGGCAATTCTATGGTGGTGTCAGCTTCTATTTCAACTTTTTTACTTTGATTTTGAGCAACATGATTCTCTTGCAAATCCTCCTTTTTCTTTGTATCGTCCTTGACTTCTTTGTTCAGGTTCCTTTTGAAACGAAGACTGTTGGTTCTAATAAAACTGACAAAATGTGTAAGAGGATTTGAATCAGGCTTAAGTTTGTCATGAATAGTAGTCGATGATGCTTCTTTTGCACCAACACATTTGTCAGGTTCTTTGATCACAGAGGTTTGCAAATCGTTATTTGTTGTTGCTAATTCAAGTTCCTGCTGCAATCCATCTATCAAGGTACAGTCAGAGCCCTGTTTGTGGTGACCACGGGTCTTACCTTTGAATCCCTGGTTTACATTCTGGCTTGAAGTCTGATCTGATTGTAGCAGATTATTATCAGCAGTGGGTTCATCCTTCGAGTCTTTGGATAGGAGTATATTATATTCAATTTGGTCTAGAACTAAATTGTTATTGACAGAATTTTTGATGGGTCCAATGTCATCATCTGGGATGTAATCAAGACTTCGCTGCTGGTTGATTAAAACTTCCGGGCATTGGCTGTCAATATCTGAAATGTTTTGATTATTGTTAAGAGTTTGTTGTTTTTGGCTTTTTGGTTCTAAAAACTTAGAAGGAC